AAAGCCTCCTGGAGGAAATGACTTCTGTTGGAGACTGGGAAGCTTCATAGCAGATACCCAGGTGGAGGAGAAGGGGTGGGAGGCAAGTGTTTCTGGCAGAGGAGAGCCTATGCAAAGAAAAGCTTGGAGGACAGACAGTGTCCTAGGACCTGGGAGGCCATTATATCTGAAGGGTGTGCTGGGGTGGGGAAAGTTGGGCTGGGAGTTGTAGGCATGGGGAGGGCTAGTTAGCAGATGTCCAGGGCTAAGTCCTAAACAGTCCTGTCAGCCACACTAAAGAGCATAGGCTTGGGGCAGTGGGGAACCATTGCTGATAAGAGCAGAGAAGTGGCATATCTAAATTGGAGTCTCTGAAAGATTCCTGTGGCTGCTGTGTCTGGGCCAACTCTACATTTGACAACTAGACTCAGAGCTGTTATTGACAATGAAACAGAAATTAGAAAGAAGAGAAGAAGAAGGAAAAAATAGCTTACACATAACAACAGCTCACAAATGTTTCAAATTCTCCAGGTTTTTAAATTCAGGGGTACCGTGGAATGACAAGTCACAATCCTTACTTCCCTCTCCAGCCCTGGAGGAGGTACCATCCTCTTTAAATAACCTAGTTGGCTTGGCCCCCTGTCCCTGTTCCAGGAGCCCCAGTGGTGTATCTGGATGACAAGGAGGCTTGGTTTTCTTTGAGTAGCTAAGGGATCCCAAGCTAAGTGAGGATGGAGTGTCTGCCCAAGACTGCCAGAGAAGCAGGTGTGGTCTGCACTGCACTTGCCATTAGATACCAGCCACTGAGCTGCCCATTCTCCAAGGATGCAGCAGGTACAGAACTGATGGGCTGCGCCTCCCGAGGGCTGACGTCTCCATTGGGTGAGCTCTCCTGAAGCTAACAGGTGGTGACAGCTCCATTTGAAAAATACGGCAATACTTAGGGAGGCTGTGATCTGCCAGCCCCGTAAGTTGCATATTAGCAGGAACATCAAACTGCCCCTGTATTGTGCCCCTTTGCTTAACCCTTGTCCTTGCATCTCTTCCTTGCCATCTCACTTAAAAGATTTGACTGTTCACCAAGACAGTGAGGGGCATGATGGAGAGGAGGCTGCCCAGCTCAAAGAAACTCTTTTTCTGCTTCCCATAACAGCCTCTGGGGGGGCCTCAGTAAAGCAACAGCCTTTTGCCATGGATGGGAAATTGATGGGTTTTAAAGAAAAATGGCCCCTGAAGTCTCTCTGTATCTCAGTTTACATGCTTTCTAGACTGGCTGGTTTGGGTCCCAACACCCAGACCAAAGAAAAATGCCTGCAGGTCTGCCTTGTAACTTGCCACCTGGCCCCTGCATCCCTGCCATGAGCATCTCTGTCTCCTCTGCTCACCCTCTTCTCCACCACTCTCCCCACCATCTCTCTCCTGGGGGTGATTGCAGCTGTCTTCTGCCCACCCCAGTGTCTCTGCCATCAGTCAGCTGCTGCTCCTCTGCAGTCCCCACACAGCAGCCGGGAAGCTCCTACTTGATCTGTCACATCTCCACTGGACACTCAAACTTACCATAAATGAAACTGATGCTCAGTTTCCCCCACAAACATGCTCTACCCCTCATGTGCTCCACTCACCATGTAGCTCAGGCCAGAAGTCTTGGAGTCATCGGCCAGTCCTCTCTCACATAACCCACATCCTACCCATCAGCATGTCTCATGAACTTCAAATTTAAAGTACATCCCCAAACCAAGTGCATCTTCCCATGTCCCTCAATGTTACCTTCCTCCCAGCCACCCTCATCTCTTGCCTGCATCTTGCAGCAGCCTCCTAACTGGCTTCACTGTTTCCACCATTGCCCCTGGCCCATCTGTCTATCCTGTGAGCAGCACCCATGATCATGCTGAAACACAACTCAGTGCGGACCATGTGGAGCTCAGTGGAGACATCTATTAATAGTGTCATCAATATAAATACATGCCTACATACATACATACACACATACATATATTTATTTCTTTTAATCTTAAAAAAAGAAAAAAAGAATTCCCCAGTGGCATGAAAAGCCTCCCTCCTCACATGACTGGTGAGGCCCATGACCTGGCTCCTGGTGCCCTCTCTGACCCTCCCTCCCTGGGTCACTGCTCAGGCCACACTGGCCTCATGGCTGCCTGCTGACTACACCATGTGCACAGGTCATTTCCACAGAGCTTACCGCCTTGTCAGAAATGGCATTCTCTTCACTCTTTATCTCTGACCTGATTTTATTTTTCTTAATATCGTTTACCTATCTCCAGCATTAAAATATGTCTTTACATTTATAGTTATATTTTTATTCATTGTTTGTTCCCTTTTTCCCCAGTATAAGATCCACAAGGCATGGATTTTTATAATTTATGATCAGCACACAGTACATACTCAATAAATATGTCTTTGCTGAGAAAATGAATAAATAAAGAAAGAACCTGGACAGTAGTCCCAACTATATTGCATTGACACCAAGGGTCCATTGTTTTGTGCATGTTTTCCTCCACGGGCCAGCAGACCATCTGTTAGACTCCAAGTCTTAGATTGTATGGCTGGGGGCAGGGGTCACTTCTCATTTTCTGAGACCTGAAAGCCAAGATATCAAAAAGCAGAAACAATTTCTTTTGGAATAACAAATGTATATCTCTAAGTCTGACACAACCCTTTTAAAAATGCAAGACTGTTTCCTCAGTATTTACAACTTAAATATCCTGAAAACCAATGGATGGAGACTTGACTTGGGATGTTGAACACACAATACAGATAATGTATTATAGAATTGGGCCCCTGAAACCTGTAAAATTTTGTTAACCAGTGTCACCCCAATAAATTCAACAGAAAGGGAAAAAATTAAACTGAAAACAAAAAGAATAGAAAAGATGCAAGGCTGTTTCCTCAGTATTTACAACTTAAAACACTCTGAAGAACCATTGTAGGACGCATATGCTGTCTGGAGAGATTTTTAGTGGATACAAGGAAACAAGAACTAGGTGACGCTTATGGCGTGGGTGTGTTGAGCACTTACTTACTAGGGATTGGGCACTGTACTAGTCACATGCATTGTCTTGTGTTTTGTCATCACAACTCTCAGTGAGAACAATGAGAACTCTCCTGGTTCACAAAAGAGACTTTAAAGAAAGTGCCTAGAGTTGCACAGCTAGTGGGCACTGATGTCTGGATTTGAACCCATGTCTGCAGAGCTTCCTTCTTTCCAAACCCAGATGGAGCCAGAGGCTGAGGCTATCTGAGAGCTAAGTCCCCTGCGCACATATACCCAATACCTCTCTGCTCCCTGTGACTGGAGGACTTAAAAGAGGAGCTTGTATTCCTTGACTTTCTGAACTTACCTTCCCATTCCCCATGAAGTGGGCACAGCCTGGCATTTCCTCATCCATCTCCTCCCAGTTGCCAAATGCAATGATGAATTTTCAGTGACTTCCCTGCTTGAACTCTTGGAGATTTTTTGGCAGTAACAATACCCTATTATTATTATCTCTTTTGCACCTTTCATATTCTGTCTTTCAAAAAAAAATTTTAAGACCTCTCTCCTGAGGTCCAGAACCTGTACTTCTAACTCCTTCAAGTTATCTCCTAGAATCTCAGTGGCCCCTCAGAGTCATCATGTCCAAACGGAAATAGTCATCTTTCTGAATTCTCCCACTTTCTTTGTCTCACTCAAACCAGAGACCTCATCATCCTCATCTCTGATTTCTCCTCCCTCCCCTCCCAGGTGTGCCCACCCCATTATTCAATAACTTACCAACCTGTCAATCATTCTTGTACAGTGGAGCCAGACATTTGGGCTTTGATGGTAATCTGACCCGGCCCACAGTGCAGCTCTGCTGCTCATTAGCTGTGTGACCTTGAACAGATGATGCAATCTTCCTGGCCTCAGTTTCTTCATCTATCCCATAGGATGATAGTAAAACCCACTTCTTAGGGTCATTGGGAAGATTAAAAAAGATACTTCATGTAAAGAGAATTCTAGGGTCCCTAGCATTTAGCAAATGCATAATAAATGTTAGCTGTTATAATTACACTCCTACTACTGTATTACTAGGTTGTGGTTGCTTCCTGTAGGCACTGTTTGAAACACTTAGAAAGCAAATGGGCTTTTTTGCTGAAGAACAAAGAACATCAAATTTGTGATTTGTCCCTTCTAATTAGGTGGGAACTAGCAAGTGCATGTGTGTACACATGCACACACATATGTTATAACTCTGCCTTAGAGCGGGACCTTTCCTATAGCAGGACCACAGGATGGATGAGAAATGGCAGTGGTTTTCCTTCTGGAGCCTGACTGGCTGAACAAGCTCTGCTTTGTATTTCATCACATTCCCCTCCTTCCTGCTTGCAGAGAGAATGGCCACTCACCTTCTGGCACCTTATAATTAAAGACCAGTAACTTATCTAGCTGCCCAGGGCCCCATTGGTGCACAGGCATCACAGGTACCAAATCCAGGTCCAGGGATCTTTCTTTGTTGACTGGAGTTTGTGAACTCCTGTATCTGCTGAGCTAGAAAATGTCAGTTGTTCCTGATTGAGAGCCAGCAGACAGCACTTTGCAAGGCCTCCTCCTATATATTGAGATCTCCCAGGTTATGTATAAAGGTCATTACTTTGCATCTTTGCCACATAAAACATCTTAAGGCACCTTAATTCCATCTCTTTCAACAGACAAGCTTGGCTGACTCCTGGGGGTGGGGCTAGGAGGGAAACCTGGCACACACCACCAGCCCCACCATTTCATGCTTTTGCCATACAGCTCCTGACTGCCCAGTGGACACCAGGGCAGCTCAGGAGCTACAGAAACTGAAGGTCGGGAGCCCAAGGTCATGTACCAAAGGTCACGAAAATTTTGCATTTTATGTTGCTCTCATGTCTGGTGATTGAAACAACCTCTCTGAGGTAGTGAAAGGGAAGGGATGGAGAAAGCCACACCCAATTTTGTTTGGTTCTGTTGTGTTTTGTTTCCACCCACCACAAGTTCTTTTCTTCCCCTCTCATAGTGTGGGCGAAATGCTGAAAACTTCGACCGATTTTTCACCCGTCATCCACCAGTCCTAACACCTCCTGACCAGGAAGTCATCAGGAATATTGACCAATCAGAATTCGAAGGATTTTCCTTTGTTAACTCTGAATTTTTAAAACCTGAAGTCAAGAGCTAAGTAGATGTGTAGATCTCCGTCCTTCATTTCTGTCATTCAAGCTCAACGGTTACTGTGGTGACATTTTTTTTTTCGTTGCGAAATTGCATCCATGTTTATTTGCTGATGAGACTAGAGTGACCATGTTCCAGAACTTCCAGAACCCAAATGTCCTCAGGTAGTTTGGAGCATCTCTATGAGATGGAATTATGCAGATGTCATGCTGAAAATGCTGCTGCATAATTAACACGTTATCCAAGTCCTCTTACAATTAGTTTCTCTGGCATGTCAGCTAAGTAGAGCCAGCAGGGATGGAAAATGCCTGCTTTCTTTTCCTTTGTTTCTGCATTGCCATTTTTATACATTCTCCAACTCCAACCATCCAATCTAGATTCTTCCCACCCAATGAGTGGATCATCAGATGCTAGCAGTGTTCTTCCACTTCTGGACCTGGAGCTTGGCTGCTCTCCAAGCATATGGTTGCTTTGACTTAGAGGGAATTCCTCCATTCTGCCTGGTTTGGAGGCACCATAAGCTTTGAAAAGAATGTGCTAAAAATAAAATTTTGTTTGTTATCTTTTTAACTCAAAGTTCAAAAGATTATCTAAGCCCTTTTAAAATTCCAAAACTATGCTTTTAGATAGTTTCAAATTAAAGCACCTCAAAAGGTCAGAAGGCAACCAGCTTGGGTGCTGCCTCAATGCTTTCATTTCTGATCCTGTATGTCCCTGATCACCTTCATCCCCAAACTACTTGGGAAGGCATTTGGCACCACTTCCTGAAAGGACATGGTCACTCTAGCAAGGTCCCAAAGGACTATAATTTTACATTACATTTCAAACTTTATTTGCTTTGGGGTTTTATTTCTGTTGTTCATATGCAAAAGAAAATATTCACTTTGTTAACACATGCTCTGAAATAAATGTCCAAATGTTACTAATCACAATTGACCAACTGATTTACAAAGAAGAGTGCTCTGGAGTCTAGCGGTCCCATGCCTGAGTGGATGGGGCTAGTCTAAGTTTGTTGTTGGCTTTGGAAAGCTAATTAAGTGCTATGAGAAAGACACCATTTCTGGAAACAGACAGTTATACTCTTTGATGTGGTTTTGCAAGATGTTTGTGGAAATGTTCATTTGTATCTGGATATGTGTTATGTGCCATTTTTCTTTTAGCATCAAGATACCATATTAAAAACAGAAGAAGAAGAAATGCTACTTCAAGGAAAATGGCTCTCTTTGAAAAATGTCAACCCAGACTACAAAATGGGGCCTCTTCAGGCTTTGAGACAGAAAGGACTATACCCAGAGCTTAATCTTAGCCCCAGTGTTCAGCCAGTCAGAGGGGCAGAGGCTGTGGACCATTCAAGGACTCCTAGTGGCCTGTAATGGGGGGTGGGGGGGCTAACCAGGAGCTGCCAATGATATCAGAGCCCACAGCCCATATCCAGGTGGGAGCATGGCCAGGGCTCTTGATTTTCTTATCAAAATCACTACTCCTCCAGCTTGGACTAAATATTCTTTCTAGCAAGCATCTTTATGAGCTATCTAAACAGATAAAGACAGCAAGTGGTTCCCCATCCTTGTCTGTAGCCTCCTGCTATTCACAGGCCTAAAGAGAATTCTTATCACAAGTTGAGTGATTTCTATAAGCTCCAAGGTTTCTAAGGGATTATTAAGGGAACTTTAAGAACTTGACAAGTGTCCTTGAAGTAAAACTTCTCATCTTTAAGAAAACCACAATTTGGGTTTCTTGTCATTCAATCCTTTCTGCCCTCTTGCTTCTTCCTACTGCAGGCTTTGGGACCACCTAGAATAGCCCTTGTGGTAGCCATCCAGATCTTAGGTAAAGCAAACTTGAATTCCCAGATGACAAGCTTAGGCAGTTAGAGAAGGAGGGGCATTGGGGCAGAACCTCCTCACTTAACTGCTGGAGAAACTGGCACCTGGAGAGAGGAAATGACCTGCCCAAGGTTAGCAACTGGGATGCAAACCCCAGTTTCCTGACACTTAGTGCAAGACTCTCTCTGCTCTATCACTGGCATCTCTGGGCCATGCCCACCAACAGGCATGTTAGTTGAGGTCCTTCAACTGGCTGTTAGGTTACCAGGCCTTTCCTCAGATATTCTCTCAGGAAGGTAAACACTATGAAGAAATATTGGGTAATTGACAAATGACCTGAGATGACTTTAGAGGCCAATGTAGTTAGGTAGGTAGGTAGGTAGGTAGGTAGGTAGGTAGGTAGGTAGATAGATAGATGATAGATAGGAAGACTATACTGTTTATATGAGGTCTGTCCAGAAGGTATTGAGCCATGTACTATGAAAAATAGAGACATTTATTGAAGAACATACAAGAGACAAGAAACATTGTACATAGGACAATGATGCCTCAGTCCCCTTCAGAATAGACACCTTGGGACCTCACACAGTTCTCCCAATCACCATCAGCTGCTCCATCATATTTTCCTGAATCTCACTTATGCTCTGAAATCTCTTCCCTTTCAAAGGTGATTTCAGTTTTGGGAAAGGCCAGAAGTTTCAGGGCGCCAAACAAGGCTGTAGCAGGCTGAGTCACCTGAGTGATTTGTTGTTTTGCCAAAAAACTTTGCACAAGGTGTGATGCATGAGTGGGTGTGTTGTTGTGATGAAGCTGCCAATCACCAGTTGCCTGTAGCTGCAGCCTTCTGATTATCTAAATTGTTTTCGCAGAGGAATGTGCAAGCTTAATGCAAAATTTGGTGTAGATTCATTGCTCACTTGCTCAGTCATTTTGAATGGGATGACCACATAGTACACATTGTCACTCAACAGTATCTACCACCCCCACTGACTAGTATAGTGAAGTTGTCATTGTTTACACATGTGCAGTCCAGTCCACTCACAGCTGCCAGGTTACATCAATGTCGCACAAACCGTTCTTGTTATAGTAATAATGGCTGGACTTTTTCTGGACAGACCTCACACTGTGCTCTGCATTTTCCAAATTGTTGCCATTATTTTCCAAAAGTTTGATACTTTTCAGAAAGAGAACTGAAGCCAAAGTTGCTGTTGCCCTAACACACCTTACTGAGGTTGGGCAGGGAAGCCTTCCAGTAAGGGGTCATTAGTCAGAATTCCTGCAGTTTCTTTTTCTATCAATGTTTCAAGTGCAGAGGAAATGGAGAAATAGAGCTTTCAACATAAGTAATTTCTGCAGAATACTTTGCAAATTTGTGGGCTTTTTAAAAGATTTTATTTATTTAGTTTTAGAGAGACGGGAAGGGAAGGAGAAGCAGAGGAAGAGTAATATCAATTTGTGGTTGCCTCTCACACACCCCCTACTAGGGACCTGGCCTGCAACCCAGGCATGTGCCCTGACTTGGAATAGAACCCACAACCCTTTGGTTTGCAGTCTGGCACTCAATCCACTGAGTCACACCAGGCAGGGTGGAATACTTTGCAAATTTGTTCAGGAAGAAAGATTTTAATTTATTTTTGCCATTATGCATGTATTCTACCCTCCATTCATTCACCCAGCCATCACTTATTGAATACCAACTATGTGCCAGACCTATGCTGGGAGCCAGGGGCATATGAGGAGCCATAAAGATACAATCCAGGAGGGCAGGTATTAAATAAGTCATTGAGAGTCTGGTGTGATTTAGACCTAGTTAGTCTCTGGGTTAGTCAGGGAAGGCTTCTTGTAAGAAAGAAAAAGTCCTCCAAGATGTTCAGGGTTCCACTTTCTCTGTACGTCACAGTGTGAGCTGAAGGAGAAGGCATAGCAGTGTCCCGTTGACACTGATTTCTGGGAAGGAGAGGCAGGACGGTTGCTGGGGTGGGTTTCCTTCCAGAAGACCAAAGGCACTGTCCCCATGCCCAAACAAAACACAGAATCACCAAGGCTTGAGCAGAAACAGATACGGGTATGAAGAGAGGGGCCTGGTTTTACAGTTTAGTTCCAAGTCCTGAGTCTCATCTCTTGGAGGTATCACTCAGATCCCTTTCTGGCCCTCAGGGAAATACTTTCCTTCCAGCACACTGCCCCTGGCTCGACACCATCTGGTGCTTCTAGATGAGACAGCCTGTGATTTTTCCAAAAGAATTAAAACTAGGGGAGAATAAAAAACTTAAGTAAGAAAAGTAAAAATCCCTAAACATAGTTCATGTTAGCCATGGCTAATTGTCTACTAGAATGCAAGACCTCTTTTCATTTCTTAGACTTGTTATCAACCTGCTCCTCTTCTAACAATAGCACCCTGATCACAATGACCTCCTTGGAAAATTAATAGGAGGTCAGTAGAACTAATAACTCTCTTTGGATGAGTGCTGTTGTTCTCGTGTGGCTCCAGATACTATCAACTCAGAAAGGAATTGTCCCCACAGAGAGGCCCATTCTTCCCCAATTTCTAGGGTGAAATTCAGGGGTATTTTCTATGAGGATCTACCCACAGAACAAAGTTCACAATGACAAGTCCTATTTAGACCATGTGGCTCTTTGAAACCTGAGTCATCAGCAGCATGACAAATGGAAAGGGCTTTCCAAACTGGTGCTGGTGGGAAAGGAGCCTCTGCTGCAAGTCCAAAGGCAGGGAAGAGCACATGGGGTCCATGTTACCAGAGGAGACCTGGGAGAATGCCAGAATAACTAGGAGAATAGAATTTTTGTCTGTTTGTAAGGCTGCCCTTACAGATCTGACTTTAAGCTTTGGGTTTTATTCCTTATAGTTTGTTGATTAGATATGTGCTATAGACATCCTTTGGAGAGACCCTTGGGCTGATGAAGACCCACCATCTAGTCTGTGGGTGCATTTCTGAGCACCCCATGAAAGCCTAGATTGCACCAGGGAATGTAGGGGGACAGTGGTCAGCTCCTTTCAGTAAGCAGTAATCCTATATTCCCACATGCCACTCTGGTTTGGGGGGAGTTGAGTAGCTTACCCTATTCCCCTTGTTAAAGAAAGAATTGTCCTAGCCACAGGCATCACTTTTGGGTGGTTTTTCTCTGGGATACTCTACCCAGTGACTAACTCTATGACATTACACATTGTGAAAAGTAGTGTCCAACTCATTTCATCTCAAAGCTAAACAAAACAAAACACACACCCCTCTTTATGATAGTCCTTAGAGAAGTTCAATGTCCGATTTCCTTTCTTAGGAAATTTCCACCAAGTTTTCTCTCCTGAAGCCAACATAGGATATGAAGTGAAAGCTGCGGGGGTGGGTAGCATGTGCAATGCAGCTGCTCTAACTGTCAGCGTGAGGCTACTGCTGACTCTGCCTGTGAGAGTTCGTCAGCTTTCCGATGACTGGTATGTCTCAGTCCTGCTTCCTTCTTCTTACGCTGTATTAATGTTTGCTTTCCATTTGGCAGAGAGACAAGCGAGACACCTCCAACTTCGACAAAGAGTTCACCAGACAGCCTGTGGAACTCACGCCTACTGACAAACTCTTCATCATGAACTTGGACCAAAATGAATTTGCTGGCTTCTCCTATACTAACCCAGAGTTTGTCATTAACGTGTAGGTAAATGCACACTCCTTTGCTGAGCCTGGAGGGTAAGACTTCAGGCCAAGTGTATGTATCGATTCTAGTCTTCCAGGATTCATGGTGCACATGCTGGCATTCCACATGTAAAGAGCTTGTCCTAGAGGGCTTTTCTTTGTATGTGTAGCTTGCTAGTTTGTTTTCTACATTTGAAAAATGTTTAGTTTAGAGTAAGCGCTTTATCCAAGTATAGACGAACAATTTCCTGAACTTCCAGAAACTCATTGAATGAACAGATGCTATCAAAACTACTGTCTGATCCCAAAATGCTTCAGTATTTGTAATTTTTAAAGTCAGAAGCTGATGTTCCTAGTAAAAGTTTTTACAGTTATTCTACAGTATCTTTGAATGCTAAGCATGACTGGTATTTTTAAACATTGTGAGTAAGCTTTGCAGTTACTGTGACCTGTTGTCTC